TGAGGAAGAGAAAGACTTAGATACGTGGGAAGTACAGACAACAAAGATGAACCCTTTTGCGTATATAGTACGGCGTGGTCAATAAAGGCAAACATGGGTATACGGGTGGACAGATTGAAATATTAGGTATGTCTATGAAGTGGGGAGTGCACCCATGAAAATGTATAGGGTTGGCAGACAGTGGCCCTATAACTTTATGTGTATGATCTGAATTCCCAGGTGTATAATGGAGATGACAAGGGGCAAGGTTGCAGTCGCTTGGTCATAGCCAGCTACCCAGAGGGCCCGAGTAGTTGAACCTGTGGGCTTGGGACCATAATCGCAGAGGACATCAAGCTCAATTGGCAAAACATACTACACAAAACATTGTTCTACCTCCTACCGTGGTAAGTAGCGACTGGGATCTTTTTTTTTTTTTTTTAAATTACGAGGGTTTATTCAGAAACTTGACATCTGGATGTGGGAAAGCGCCAGCCAACCTAGAGGAGAACTGATGGCTTCCGCGACTGGGATCTTAAAAGCTTGCAAGCTGCCATCTAGATGCAACAATGGGTCTCTCCTTGTTCAGAGCCAAGAAGAATGAAGAAAATAAAAAATTCATGGAAACAATTAGTCCTAGCAACTGGTACAACATCCGAACTGCAGCCTATATGTCTATGAGACCAGAAGAACTAGATGGTGCCCGGCTACTACTGTCAACCACTTGGAGGATGATCTATGTAGGAGATCCTGGATAGACAGGGAGAACAATGTGAAACAAAACTCAAAATCATTTGGGGGAAAAAAAAGGGGCGGACGACCAGGTTTGCTGGCTCGATAGAGCCTGGTGGAACCACTGAGACTATGGCCCCTAGCTGCCCTTCAGGTCTGGAATTGAACTCATGCCTGTGGCTTCCAGCCAAACAACAGACAGCCATAGGAGTTGAACATTTACCTGAGGTGGATACACTCCTTGGAGAGAATAAGCATGGGAGAAAGAAGGGCTGCTTATGCACAGGGAGACAGCTCAGGGGGCACGAGCGTATGGAGGGATGGACACTGGGAAGAGGTAACTATGGGATGGAAGTGGGAGGGGAGCTGTTGCATCATGGTAAATTGTGGTCAATGTCATAAGACAAAGTGTATATGAACTGCTATATGGAAAGTGTATTTGCTCTGTAAATTTTC